AACTTTATGGTAATCGTGGTCCATTTTTTGTTGGTAATCATTTAACATGGGCTGATTTATATTTTTATGATGCAGCAGAAAAGTTTCTTCAAATCGATGGAAATGTTTTAAAAAGATATTCATGGTTACAACAAAATCGTTATGAAGTTGAAAGACAACCAAAAATTTCAGCTTATCTCAATAGCCGACCGCAAACATTATTTTAAGCAAAATAAAAAGAAACATTTTCTTTTTTTTTTTTTTTTTTTTTTATAAACAATCATAGATTATTCTTTTTTGTTGCATTATAATTTCATTTTTACAAAATATAATTTGAATATATATTTTTGGGAAAAAGTTAATTTATTTATTGGGACATCTATGAGAAGAATAAATAACAAACGAAAAAACAAAATAAAATGCAAATATATCAGAAAAATATAGATATCGACAATAAAAATAAAAAAAAATTTTACTTTTTGTTTTTTTTTCTTCTTAAGTATTAAGTTTCATCATGTAATACTCCATCGGCATCTAACATATTCATATTAGTAAAAATATTAGCATGTTTTTTAATTTCTCTTAATGATAAAGAATTGTCTTTTGGTGAATCATCAACTTTTGAAAATAATTTTTTGATTTGCATATCGATATGTACTCGATTCATTGGATTATAGGCTTGCTAAAATGAAGAAAATTGCAGAAAAAAAGATCAAAAAACAAAAAATTGTATCTATACCAATAATTCATCTTTGGTCAAAAAACCATCCCCATTTTCATCCATTTCATGAAATTCTCGTTTTTGTTCTTCTAACCATTGTTTATCTGCTTCTGCCGATTCTTTCTTATTTTGATCTTCAACTATAGTTTCTAGAAAAGAAAAATAATATAAGAAGAGATTAGCTGTATTTTTTCTTTACATACGAGGTAAAAATGAAAATTCATCTTCACTTATTTTATTATCTTCATTACGATCTAGAATAATGAAGAAAAAGATGATTAATAAAAAAAAAAGGAAAATCAAAGACAAACCCATTTGTACTAGAGTATCTTCAACCATATATTTATATGAACGGCCAAGTATTTCAGGATGACGAAATTCAAGAAATTCATCCATATTAAGTTCACTATCTCCATCATTATCAGCTTGTGTCCAACGAAATCGAATTTTATAAACTTCTCGTCGTACTAATACAATAAAACGAAAAAACACATAAGACATTCAATCATGAATTGAAAATTGATTAACTTACAATCAAGATCAGTTGATTCTAGAATAAAATTAGTATCATGGAAATCTGTGTTATTGTATGCACTTACATTATGAAATTTAATATATAATGTAATATATTCATGCCATGTTATTTTACCTAAAGCATATATATATATATATATTTGTATTTAAAGGACGTCTGATAAAATAGAGCTGAGCAACTCTGAGTCACATTTTTTTGTTGAAGTCCTTAACTTGACTCGAACTCGAAAGTTGAATATCGTTGATTCGAGTTATTCATTCAAAAAAGCAAAAGTTGATAGTTCAACAGGTAAAATCAGTTTCAGAAGAAATCGATGGTTTTCTGTAGAAAGAAAATTTAATCAATGATCTTACTTTCTCCAAAAATGAAATTCATATCAATCTCTTAATAAGCTTTCTTGAAAGTTTTCATTCTACATAAGTACTAATTACATACGTATTCTCTCAAAGTGATCTTTTAATGAGATTGCATCATTCAAATGTTTCACAAGCAAATATTTGCATTTTAACATCTTTGAAGTGTAATAAGACTAATTTAAATGTTAAGAAATATTTTTTGATTGTAAACAACTCAAAAGTTTCTGTTTGTAAAAACTTGATGTTTCTTTTCTAGTGTCTTGTGAATACTATATGAAAGAGAAGAATTGATTTTACTGTTCTTACTTTCCTGATAAAGCTATAATAGTGAAAAACTTGTTGTTAACATTCTTTATAGAAAATAAACAGGAAACGAAATTACTACAAAGTGACTCGGAATCGATTCGAAAAGTAGTTTGCCTTCCCTAATCTTGTAATAATACAAATTGGTTTTGAGAACTGGTGAGATACGATGAGAGATCAATAAACTTTATCCGAATTCTACACCATATAGATTTTCTCAATCAAATTTATTTACAATCTTGTTGTTCTTATGAGAGAACTTTAATTATCTAACAAAATCTTACCATCTTGATTTGTATCGATTAATAAAAATAATTGTGAATTTTTATCTTTAGCTTCTTTCAAATGTTGTTGTACATTTCTTAGTGCATGATTAAGTAATTCATCTTTTGATAAACGTTCATCATGATTTGAATCTGCTCTAAATGAGTCAAAAAGAAAAGTAAATAAGTATATATATATATATATATATTTATTTATTCAAAAAAATTTACTCTTGAAATATTTCTTCTAATTTTTTATGTAACTTTATTTCATCACGTTGAATATCCGAGTCAAATAATTCATGATTACCCAAAAAAATTTCTTTATGAAAATGTGGATTAACTTGTCCATAACGATCCAATGGTAAACCTTCAATATGTTTATCATCTTTTAAACTATGAATACCAAAATCTTTTAAATTTTTTGCTATTTGTAATGGATTAAAATTTTTTGGTATTTGAAATTTTGGTATTTTTAATGAAGTACTTAAATCTGATGTTAATTTATCTTTAGAATATTCGGAAAGTATTACTTTTTCTTTGAGATTCAATGTACTATTATTTATCTGAGATATCTAAATAATAAAAAAAGGTTTTTATGAAATTTCAGTTGTAATGAAAAAACTTACTTTGACATCGATTGGTAAAGCATTTATATCAAAATTAAATATAAAAAATAGATGTAAATATTCTACTAATTTAAATTTCATTTTATCTAGAAATAGAATTTTTATTAGTTTAATATAGATGAAAATAAATCTCTTAAGATCATTACACATGATTTTATATATAGATTTTTTTTTTTAGTATTTTTACAAGGAAATCTCTTCAGTTGCTCTCTCTTCCGACTTCATTGATTTTTTTCTGCATATACATATTTATATAGTGTTCTAATAAAAATTCCAAAAAGGATTTCGGTTCTTATTGATATGTGACTAAGCTATCAAGTTTTTAATATGTGTATTTTCTAGAACTTTGTGCGTACAGAGAATTCAACTAGACTAGCTTTTATAAAAAAAAATTCAAAGGCTCTGAACAAAGACTTTTCGAAATATGAGACTTTCAAGGTGTAGCCTCTCGTCCATGAATAGTGTATACAAGATGCTTTTTCTTGCAAGTTTCATATTTTGAAGAGACTTTATTATTCAAAACTTCTGATTTTTTTAATGAAAACTAGTCTAATTGAGTTCTCTTTATGCACAAATTTTCAGATGAAAATACGAGTTTGTGGAATATTTAAGGCTTCCAGAAAATAGACATATTAGAAATTTCAGAGCTTAGTCCAATATCAATAGGAACCGAAATCCTTTTAGGATTTTTATTAGAACACTATATAGTATCTATAGGTGAAAAAAATGATTAGAATCGGAAGGGAACAATTGAAGAGGTTTCCTCGCACGTCTATTATGCATGAATTAATTCATCATCATTATTATTGTCGTCATCAGATTGATTTTCTAAAATTGGTTCTTCTATTTCATCAGTTGGCATTATTGATAATAATTCAGGTGTTCGACTAACACATAATCCTTGTATTCTAATAATAAAAAAAGAATTCATAAAAATAAAAATATTTAAAATAAATAATAATATTACAAAATGAAAATTAATGCAATTATTCTTGTAGTAGCAGCAAAAATAAAAACAAGACCAGGAAAAAAATCAATCGATGCTTGATAAATTTCCACACAAGCAATTGTACCCATCACAACATCTAGATTTTGTATTAAAGCAACAAAACTAAATGCTTTACCTAAATAAATATTTGTTACAGAGAAAAACAAAAATAAAAAATTTTCAATATACCTTTATCTTTTTCAGGGACTAAACGAGCAATTATTGCTCGTAAACATACTGCAAAATAAATACTAAACATTGATGATGGAATAGCTAAGAATAAAATAATTTATTTTAATCGAATTATCATCTTCTATTTTTTACCTCCAAAAATCATCGCTTTATTTCTTTGAGCAAATGCAAATAATATCGGTGCAGCTAATGATAAACATAAACCCATAATAGCTAAATAAAGATCATTAACCTTCCATCGTCGTCTTAATAATACTAATAATATCAATGCTAAACAAGTAGCTAATTGTTCAAATGAAAAATATGCTGCATAATGTGCATCATCAAATGACATATAATGTAAATATAAATAAACAATAGATCCTGAACCCATTCGAAATAGATCATAGAAGAAAAGTGAGAATAAAAGTATGAGAAATGATATAAGTAAATGATTTTGTTTTAATCCAACAAATAAATCATGAATATCATATATTGGTTGTATTATTTTTTGACTTAGATTATTCGTTGATGGTTGTGATAATGATCGATTTTTAAGAAAAACTAGACTTATAACAAGTGCTAGAACCAACAAAAGAACATGAACAAGTAAAATATGCCATATTCGAGTATGTAATTCAAAAACAAATGTACACAAAGCATAACCAATTATAACGCCAATATTTAAAGATGCTTCGATAATAGCAATCATTTGAACATGTTGTTCTTTATGCGTACATGAATCAGTAGCATAACCAAAACATGAACTATTATTTAAAAAAAAAACAAAGCAAAGCTTACAATGTGTTATTCTAATCTTAAATTAGCTTACGAAATAAGAATTAGTGTTCCACCACCAAAACCATTTACAATATTAGCTACTATATATAATATTAAACATAATTGTGTACCTTGATAAATACTTGCAATTGTGATTATTAGACCTGTTAATATAGCATTACATATTGTTAAAATAATAGGAAATTTTCGATTTTTTGTATCAGATAAACTTCCATAAATAGGTGAAATAAAACAAGCAATAATTGCAAATGAAAGTGTTCCATATAGAGCCCATTGTGAACTTTCTTTTTGAATAGATTCTTCTAATATTATAAGCGATTTATTTTGATCAATTTCAGCACAATATGATTCATTAGCTCGAAGAAGACAAACTGTAGAATAAATTAAAGAATTGGTTGCACAAAAAAATAGTAAAAATGAACATAAATATAGAAAACAAATCAAGCAAATAGGAAGAACAGCACGCCATAGACGTGGTACAGATGGTTCGACCATGATATTTTTTGTTGTATGTCAATTATATTAATACTGATAACGTTGCTGCTTTCTCAAGCGTGCCTCGTATAGTTTGGTAAGACGAGCAATAGCTAGTAGTAATTGACTGTAGTTATTCATTTGATACTATCGATCAAACAAATTGCGAATAAGAATCAAACGATGATAGAGGGCACTCAATCTATCGACTTATTTATTCTTATGTTTTTTAAAGACCTGGAAATTATTTAAAGAGTCAGGTATAGACAAGAAAACAATAATATTAAGTGAAAATATTCGAGAAAACTTAGAATTAAACTTATCATTTTACAGATAATATTTATTTTATTATAGTTGATGTTTACTTAGAAGTATATCGGTTTTTTTTTCAATCTTCGAACTCGAAGTTTTCTGATCATTTGGCGACAAAAAATCATTTTTCGATTTATTGATTCAATTTTATTGGAATTAAAAATTTTGTGATAGTACTACGAATTAATTGACAAGATTCAAAAAAACTTGAGATATCGATTATTCTCAATTATAAGATCTTTATTCGCTATTGTATGTTTTTCAATTGTATATCATTGTATCATGATATTGAATTATTTTTCCAATTTAGGAAGTTATATTCTAGAACTACATGGCCATATTTGACTTGTTCTCTTTTAGTCTTTTGATATTTCTTTAATCAAATGAAGTTTAAGCTATTGATATCTTCATTCAAAATATTAAAAGATAATACTCTTTTGTTTTGAAACAAGAGAAAAAAATCTCATCGTAATAAATATTAATATACTTAAATTTTGTTTGTATATTATATTGATGATTTAAATTAATATTATACCATTCGAAACGAGTATTTATCTAATTAAAAAAAAACCATTTAATTAATCTCAATTGATCTTCATTAGAAGTTTTAATTTATTATTATTATTATTATGGATCGTTTCAAATAAATATTAAAATAAAAAAACATATTCATCTTTAGAAAATAAATAAAATAAGAGAAAAAATTCGAATATATTTCTAAAACACAAATCATGTATTTATGACCCTTACACTCATACTCCAACTTTTTTGTGAAGATAAAAATTATAACCAAATAAAATGTTATAATATTTAAGATGTCTTTACTTTGAAATGTTTAATTCGATGATGACAGTAGTCAATAAAATATTCGTAGAAAGAGAACAAAAATTTTCATCTTTCTAAATTTTTTATTTTTTATTTTGCTAAGGTATGTAACACTCGGAAGTGCTTACATAAGATTTAAAGACAAGTACTTTGCGACATTAGAACCAAATATAACAAGTATACGCTGAACGTTTTAACGTTCGTCATTGTCTTAATACCGATGCCTTTGACGAAATGATAGTGTTGATAGAGGGATGGGAATGAGAAATCATAGGAAGACAAGGAAAATAAAAGAAGAGAGAGAAGGAAGGACGAAATCGAAAAAAAAAACAAAAAAGAAAACCAAAAAAGAAACAGAGGGAAAAAAATATCATAATAATAATAAAGAAAGAGAAAGAGAAAGGAAAAAAAAATAAAGAGAACTAGTCTACATACAGAGAGACATGATAAAATGAAAAGAACAAAAGAAAAAGGAGTACCACATTTGCACTAATTTGTTCCAACGAAACTCAGCCATTTCAAAAGGAGCGACTCGTGTCGATCTATTAGTAATCGTACACGTCGCAAACGAAAAAATTGGCCCAGGTGATCATTTTTTCTTTTATAAAATTCGTTCCACACGAATATATCATTATAAAAAAGTGAAGATCCAAGATCTGTTAAATGCGTTGTTCTCAATCTCCTTTGGACGTACTTTTTAACATAGAATTCTAAGGGGAACTCTGAAGTTACAGTGAAAAGATTATGTGTGAGGACGAAAGGACAGCGATACACCAATCTAAGACCCATACGAAATTTCTGGTTCAGTATTTAGAACAAAAATTTTCATCTTTCTAAATTTTAAGTGACATTGGTGCATACGATAAACATCGGATTTCAATCAGCACATATATATATATATTGCTATTTAAAGACATTGATACGAATAAAAATTCTTTGATTATAAGATATAATATATATATATAGTTTTTACTTTTCTCTTGCGATTAGTCTTGATATGTTAGCATTCGTTAATTCATTTATTTCATCATAAGTTTGTAATAAAAACCAATTTTTTCTCGTTCTTTTGAATGAAGCATCATTTATATTGAATGTAAATTGTATCCATAATACGAAGTGCTTCACATCCATGTTCAATGAACAAGAATATAAAGTAAAAAAAAAAATCTTCAATGCGATTTGTAAGGCCTCGTATGAATTAAATTACTCTTATCATACTGACATTGATCGTATATAAGAGTTATTCGTTACATGACTATATCATCCAGCACTTCAATATTCTGTGGGGCGCATAACATTGACCTTTTCTTTTGCTCTGATGAAGAAAGATCAACTATTTACTTGTTGCCAACTTTTTATAAAGACATGAAACATAAACTTGGATGGATATTTGGATTATTCTGTGAGTTACTTTAATAAATACAGATCTTCAATGTTATCTGATACTTTTCTTTTTTCGTAATTTAAGTTCTATTTGTATACATTCCAAATTTTATTTATACTTTTGATTGTTATTATTGTGAAAATTGTTTAAATAAACAACGTGGTGTTCGTATTGCAGCTCGTCCAGAAGATTGGTGTTATGTAAGTGAATATTGATCGAGATGTTTTTTAATTAGTTTCTATTGTAAATAGAAAATTGTATGGCCATCAGGTCGAGGAAATCAACAAATAGTATCACGTGGTGCATCATCTGATTGTCGACAAGATAGTTATAATGATCAAGATATGGCCATTCCAGGTGTCTTTTCAGGCGTTGCTCGATATTGTTGTCGAAAACATCTTTGTAATTCAACACCTCCACGTGTTCACTATTCATTTTTATTCATAGTTTTTTTTTCTTTTACTTTTTATTTTCTTCGAATGTTTGTTTTTTGGTAGTGAACAATATTGATTAAGAATTGACTATTTTTAGAAAATTTTTAGAATTAAATAAAAAAAAACACATCATTTTTTCAAAAATGTTGTGATTACCTGACTTAATTGATGAAATAATATTTTCTTTATTTTGATTCTAGTCAAACAGACTCAGGAATAAAGACACAGTTTTTATTTGCTTTTTTCCGTTCTTGTTTTCTTTGATAGCTGTTGTTGTTAGAAAAAAAACAGTGGAGGCAACATATTTAATAGTGAATGTGCACGTGTCAATATGTTTTGAAGTAGAAACTTACAAAGAAAAAGAATGTATTATTGATCATTTCTTTTTTTCTTTATAATGGTTTACTGTCGATTAGATATCTTTCCTGTTGAACTTATTCATGAATTATTAAGCTATTTTTCCGCTCGGGAAATTTTTTATACGTTTACTAATATTAGTTCTTATATCGATAATGTCCTATTCACCTATTCAAATTATCGTGTCGACTTCAAATCAATTACAAAACGAGAATTCGATATTGTCTGTCAACAAATTATACCGAATCAAGTTATTTCATTAATATTATGTGACAATGAAAATACACCAGGTCAAATGGAACTTTTTCTATCACGCTTTCAAATTGATCAGTTTACTTGTCTTCGTTCATTGACATTAATTGATATTGGACCAGAATTTTGGGAACCTATTGTTACAAAATTAAATAGTCTTAAAAATTTACGTTCATTTTTATATATTTCATCGACTAAAATTGATTCATGGATAACTAATATTTCAGATGATGAAGTCACTGAACTTGATAAACGTTTGTCTGATATTTACGGTCCAATACTTCCTCAATTAAATCGATTGACATTATCTCATGGAGATTTTTTGGAATCAATTCAATTTCCTTATCTTCATCACTTAACAATTGAACGATGTAAAGTTGATATTATAAAATATATTTGCTATGCTGCACCACAACTAAAATCACTTTCAACTGGTTTTCGATATAATAAATCAAATACAGAATTTATTTTTCCATTTGGTCAATTGAATCGATTAACTCTAAGAATTGGAGGTAGAAATTTTATGAATCTATTATATGATCAAGATATTGAATCATATCATTAAAAATATTTTTCTTTTAATTTTTTAGGTTCATCTGTCTCGATGAAAAATATGGAACAACTATTAGGAAATTTTCCTAGTCTTAAATATTTAGAATTACATGCAAATGGTCATGCTGATCTAGTTGATGGTAAACAATGGCAAAAATTAACAAATCGTCTTATCACATTCAATTTCAATTTTTATATACCAAATGATTTAGAATCACAAGATCTTGATTCATTTCGTAGTCCATATTGGCTTGATGAAAAACATTGGTTTGTTGCTTGTATAAATAGATCTTTATTATCTGTACCTTACTTTGCTGAAACGTGTACCAATGATGAATTTCAACCAATTACTGTTTCAACATTGCCTGATAACACAATTTTATATAATTGTATTACTCAATTAACTCTTTCAGAACCTGTTGTTGATATAAATCAACGTTTTCCTCGAGTTCATACATTAGCTATGGTTCATTCCATTCCTTTATCATCTATTGAACGTATTGTTGATCTAAATCGGATACAACAATTGGATTTATATTCAAAAACAGATTATTCTGGAATTAGATTTATCATAAATGAAATGTCAAATCTTTGTCGAATTTCCATTAAAAGTAGGATAAAATGTTTTCTTGAAGAAGTTCAATATAAGTCATATGATAAGATTCGAAAGCTTGAAATTGGTAATCGTTATTCAACTGATGATGATTATGAAGATAATTATAGTATTGAACAGTTATGTATTGTCTTTCCTAAGATCGAACATCTGAATATAGGTCATTGGGATTCAAGAATATCAATATTTCATTTCATCAATCGATTTCCACAATTGTCAACTGTATCATTTCGTTTTTCAAATTGGATTATCAGCGAAGAACAAAGAGATAAGAATATTATCGAAGTTAAGTCAATTCTGGAGCAAAATCGATTGTTCCACAAATTTGATTATACATATCGATTCGATAGATCATCAGTATATATCTGGTTATAAAAGTTTTAATCAGTCTTTTATTTAGAAAAAACAAATATATTGTTTTTTGCTGGAATTTTCTTCTGCCTGTTGTATTAAATATATTTATTTCTGCTATTAATAAAAATTTATGAATAATAACGAATATTTCAATTAGAATGATTGCATTCATCTGTTATAATATCTATGCATATAACAATTTCATTTTATATTAACCATACATTCATGTTCAATCACACTTAACTAAATTGTTTAAATAAGAATATAGATCATATTAGAGCTTTTTTTAATGAAAATTTTCAGTAAATTTTATTACACATAGAAATTCGTCAACATAAGTTAGAGTTTGATAATATAAGTAATTTATTGAATATTATAAAATGACAAATCTCATATTGGTATTAATTTTGAAGTCTGCATAGTAAAATCATTCTAAACTATGCAATTTGCACAACTATTACTCTACAAGCTTGATATTTTGTCTCTCAGTAGATAACTTTTATTCTTTGATTTTTATACCAAACACATATTGTCTAAGGTTTGTTAAAAAATGTTGAAAAGAAAACGCAGGATAAAAAACCGAATAAGATAATGCTAAATAGGAGAGTATCGAATACGCAAGATGTCAAAATAAATGTTTGGTTTGACGTCTCGATAACACATCAGTATGTTTTTTAAATCGATAGCACTCTGTATTCACCTGAGCTCGAATACAAACCTACCTCTTTTTGATGATATTTCTAATGACAAAGTGCATGACAACTTTGCTTTTTGAAAATATACTCTGGTATTTAATATAAAAGTTGAAATAACGTGAACTTAGAAATGAAATAGTGTAAAGTGTCTTCGATTTGAAAAACAAAACTATTTGTATTGGATTACGATAATCTTTATTGTTTTGTTTTGTTTATACTTGTTTAAGACAACCCGAATAAGACGTATATATAAGTTATCTGAGAAGTCAGTACACGGTTCTAATGTCAAGTGATTCAAGATTTCACCTGCATGTGGCATCTTTTGAATTCACAACATTCTTCTTGTAACGATGTGATTAGACGGAGTTTGATGAGGCTCATCCCACAACATTTTTCTGGTTACGTGACTACTTTCTTGCGATATAACTTTTCGACATTTTCCTATTACACATTCTTTATGTCGGCTTTTCAGTATTCAACGTTGTGTAGTTAGAAATTTTCTTGTTTGTGTATTATTCCTTTGTAGGTTTTCCACATTTTCCACGTTCTTGAAGAAAATTCTAAAGAGTTCTAGATGATCTAGAAAATTCTAGATAAGCTTAGAGCATTCTATATAATTCTAGAAAATCAATAAAAACTTCTTTCGAAACTCAACGATGACTCTTCACGTTTAATTTTTTACCCTTGATCAGATAATAGAGATATACACGGCTCAATATTTTATATATAGATTTTAATTCTCAAAAACTTCTTCAAATTACTACAAATTGAGAAAATACTTAAGAATTTGAAGAAATATTGTCAAAATTAACTGTTTTCTGCTACCCCAGTATTTGAAAAGTGGCTAGCAAATCAGGAATCTGTCATAATACCCATTTTAAATATGAAGCTGTCCGATGCGTAAGTTTAAAGATGACAGAATATGAGAGATGATGTAAAAAGAATTTATTCGAATTATTTTTTTTATAAAAAAAAGAGATTTATCACATATACAAAAAAAAGTTACACTCAGTTTTTATGTCGTATATTTCATTTCATAAGGTGCAAATAATGCAAAGTTAAAACAAAATTGTTTTGTTTCGATATAAACGGTTAGATACAACTTGATTACCTCAGAAAGAAAATATGTATTTTAATTTCTTTATTGAAAGACTTTCGATAAAAAAAGTTCAAGTTTTTCGATAATCTAGAACGATTCATTTTCTCTAAAGCAACGTTTTTGGTGCCAAAACAACGACACAAATTTTAACATTTTTCCAATTAACAAAAAATTTTCATTCCATTGAAATTGTGGAACCTATATATTCAGATTCGGGTGTAACTGTGGATGTATGCATGGGTCTTCTCTACACCTACATTCACACTCTACTCGTCATATCACTATAGTACGTCTCTTCTTTATTTTGTTTTATAAAATACTGACAAGCATATCAATGATAAGAGAAAGAAGAATCAATGAAGAACAGTAAGATATAACTTATTAGCTACTTTCTTTTTAATGCTATATATTTCATATTGACAAGTGTGCTATTAAGAGGTTACTGTAGAACGCGGTCATAGTGATAAAATACTACTAGAAGTCAAATTCTCATTTTTGCTGATCTGCTTGTTGTCATAAATTTCTTCTGCAAAAGCCAGAAATCAAAAAATAGAGATTTAGTGGAAACTTGTATTAATTTGAGATTTGCTATTACCTTCCCAAAAATTTTCTTATACAATATTGAAATACTTTTTTTCCGCATAAATAATACTTATTAGAATATAGTTTGGCATTTATGTTTTCTAGTATTTCGTCTCAAAAACTCTGTAAAACAGTTTAGAAAATGACTTGCATATTGAAAATGAAGATGACACTGAGAACGAAAAGAAACTTTCAAATATGAGTTGCCACTGGCTGCACAAAAAGATCGCTTTTTGTTCGTATTAAAAACGTAAGAATTCTCAAAAATGATCTACTAGAGAAAATAGGACAAATGTTTTTCATTCGATGAAAACCACATAACATTTTTTATCAACACATATTCATTTGCTTTATTTTAAAACATGTTCTACAATAAATAAGAAATTAAATTTTTTTCGAAATCATCCGGTAAATGCTTGTGGACATTGTTGTTTGTAAAGAGCTTCTTCTTGTGAAGAGATTTCAACAGCAGTTGTGGAATGACAGACTGTTGTACTATTTTTAATATTTTTAATTTGTAAAGTCATTGTAAAAGCATTTTGAGTTGCGTATGTTTGATCACCGAAATAATAACCAGGAATGTAGGCCATACATCGCATACCACATTTTAAATAGAGTGATAGGGCACTCTTATTTTCTGTGTTCGCATGCAATGAGATTCGAGAATTCTTTGCTTGAATAGCATCTTTGATAATTTCATTTAATAATTTTGTTCCAAGACCATTTTGACGATGTTCTTTCAAAACACTGATATAACAGATATATTTTGAGTTGTCATACGCTTCTAGACGAGCTAAAAGAAGAGCATTGATGTTTTTCATAGAAAGAGTAGTATTTCGAATGAAAAAAGCTAGCATTGTTGTACTACACCATTGAACAGTGTTAGGATAATATCGATTGGGTGTTTCAAATGATTCTTGCAAGTATTCTTCAAGCCATTTGTTGACTGTGAATGTTTGAGCTTGTGTGGAACCATATTTATGTATTAATTTATAAAGACGATAATCATCATAATCAGTTAAATGGATGAATTCGATATTTGTCAATCGTTCTGTAAATTGAGATTGTCTTATCATCGACCTATTCATAAGAAATACGTTGGCTCTCAACAAAATATGCTAGAAAAATATTGAAAATTATTCAGCAGTAGTCGCATATTCTTTAGAAAACTGTAGATAAACTATTAAATGATGAGAATATGTGCGAATTTCTAGTATTTCTTAATCTGACATCTCTCTTTTGAGATAAAATGTATTCTTGTATTATATGTCAAAAATTTGATTTAAAAAAGAATGAATAGTTAACAGGCTTATCAATTATATTTACCTTTCTTTAGCATTTCCTGATAAAGTATGGTACTGTTGTTCAATTGTAGCGAGAGCCATAACTGTCCATAATGTCTGGAAAAGAATGAACAACTTAGTCAGCATCTGAAATTTCCTTGATGTTGTACTTTTTTATTTTGCTTTAGCAACATACAGTCACAAACAGCAAGCTAGATTAAATCAAAGACCTTTTAGAGAGGATTTATTCTTAATAATGTTATCATCGTAAGTTTATAAATGTCAATAATGATAATATAAAAGATAGTGTTATTGTTAGGAAGCTTCGTATATTTACAGAAGGTGAAAATACAAGCGCTTAGATTGAAAAAAATATTCTGTCGTCACATGAGATACACCATGTTAAATGGAACATCAATAAATACGAACAAAAAAAATAATCTTTTTTTGTGGTAGTATATGAAATCAATTCAAAGAAGAAATATCATATTTCAGTATTCTAAAGTATTCGAAATAAATTAACGTATTGTAAAGTTCTTAAAACTGATTGACATACATAAACGTATATTTAAATAGAGAGAAGTATAAAGAATATAGCATCATATTTATGAAGTCGCTCATTTTCTATATATTGTGGTAATATACTTTTCGAATAAAAAACAAAGTTTTAGAAGCAGTCTATTCAAATGGCTACATTTCCTCAGTATCACAAATACTTTTAATGACTTTCTTTTTTTTCTAAATAAGCACACATTTCATTTTAGATAATTTTGTCTTATCATTGCTATTGTTCTTACAAAAAAGATTCGATAAATATTATCGAAATAAACAAATGAAAGAAAAGTCAGTGATGTGTCTCAGTTAGAATACATTTGTTGATAGCATTGTATCCATAATTATATATCAGGATTCCTTTTATCTTTTGTTGAAAATTAAGCAGTGATAGATTGACTTCTTTTTTTCTTCTACTGTCGTTGTTTGTTCTGTTTTTTTCTCTTAATGCTGCCATAAATCTGTCGCATATTATATACAATTTTGTCTACTGAAAAAAAAAGTACTCGTTTGCTTTTTGTTTTTTTTCTTTTGCACATATTGACATGTTTCAAACAAAACTAGTTAGAAGACTTCATTGCATCAAATTAAATCAATCCTCATCTTATTCAACCTGTGGTAGTTGTTATTTGTACTGAACATCGACAAACGAAAATGAAACTGAAATCAATCAAGATGCTATTCATACTGTCTTAGAAAGTGTTTGCTAGACACATAAACATCTACTATAATTACTTCAAGAACAGATTGAAAATGACGAAAAATCTAGAAATAAACATCTGACAATGATAGCACAAGAAATAAGATTAGTCATGAAATTCGAAAATATCATTGATGAGCATACTCAATGACTTGAACAATTAAAATGGAGTGCAAATAAATATTTGAATCATGCATCAAAATTATCATTTCTAGCAATCAGCGATTTACAATTTAGAAACCAATCACTTAGTGATTAGGTCGTTCTTCCTAATGATAATCGAACAATATGCAGCAAAACATGTCTTCAAAATTGGGTCTTTAAACTAATCACAGATATAGTTTCGTCAATAAGGTCTGATTATGATAGTACAATTAGCATGCAACTTGTCACAGAAATAAATTGATGTTTTATGCTATGTCCAAATAAATGTTATCAATCAATTCAATTTAATCTGCAGCTATTTAATTTCATCGTCAATGATACTCTTTTTATTGGTTTTATTAATCAATCGAATAGTAAAGACTGGCCTGAAAATTCTTTTATCAGACGATACTTCATTTTTCAACATTTCCAACGCTTCCCTTCAACATTTCCAATTTGTTTCTCGTCTATACGCGTAGCCTGTCAGAGTATATGTGCAAAGAAGATCTACGCACACAGCGACACCCTTGTCCTAGTATTTACAACTTAACAGATTGTATCCCATGCTTATTCATAACAGTCCAAACATTTCAGTTTCAATTAGTTCTTTAATAATAGTAAGTCAATACTTTAATTCTCTAAAAAATCCGATAAGAACACTAATTTTAAATGTTTCATTGTCATAATGGAAAAAGAATAAAATTAAAAAAAAATCGTCTCTTCGATTATTTGATTTCTTTAAGTGAACCTGTTTTGGTATCATATACGAATCCTCGAACAATAATGTCTTGTTTAAGCAATGGATTTTTTTTATATTCAGCAAGATCATCACGAACTGATTGTTCTAAATCAGTAATTGGCATAAAATCAGGGTCATCTTCATCATACGATAGTTGTGATGGGTTCAATTGTTCTGTTCTTGTTCCTGTTCTTACCTATAAAATTCAAGAATATAGAAACTAAAGAATATATCGATGTAAAGAAGTTTGAAGAAGAAAAGGTTTATAAAGGATAGATAATCATACTCTGAGTGAAGCCAAAATTTGTTTGTTGTTTGAAAAATAGGTAAAACCACAATCAGTATGATGAATAATCATAACTTCTTTAGTGTGTGACAATGCTTGACTACAAACAAGTGAACGAACCGCATCACGAAGACGGCCACCACCTTAAATAAAATTTTAAAAAAACCAATAGTAAACATGAATAAGACTTGACGTTTTGGTTCTGTTTCCAATCTAAAGAAAATTTATTGACACAGAGCTCGGAACAAGTCTCTATCATTGTCTATAAGTTCCAAACGTTCTACTACCAGAGCTAGACAAGTCAAGTCTGATTTGATCTGACTTGCCAAGTTCTGTCTGTTATGATACTGCAAAATCATTCACATTTTAATATCCTTCTCCTCAGATGCTCATTTAAACATGACGAAATCGGATCTGCCTATGTCTAACCAATACATCTGCTGAGATTTAGAAGAGAACTTATCTAGATCTCCCGTTCTGGTTTCAATAATCCGTTTTTTTACACATACTACATAGGGTTCTGGTAAAACTCATATTAACATTTATGTTCTTATTGAGATTGGAGAGAACTATCGAATTTTAAATATGCCTATTTTCCATAGACTTTTATAGTTCTCCTAGTTCTTAGAAAAAATTTAGTTTTGAATCTAAACATCTCTAAGATAGGAACGTTTGTTGATACTAAGTCTAAGAACTCTGAAACTCTTTATATTTACACTAGTCTATGCATAGTCTTTCAGTAAAGGTAGCTTTATAGCAAAACTTGACAGCAACGGTTTTTCTAAAAAACTAGAACCCTGTGAGGGTATCTTAATAATAGATATACTAAAAATTCCATAGCTTCCTCAAATTTGAATAAGAATTCAAATTTTTATAAGAATTTCAACTGGAATATTATTTAGTATCCATGCACAAAAGAAAAACTGATTGAAGTTGGAAAGTAACATCTAACAAGATGTCTTCATATGCTTATTCACCATTTTGAATGATATGTACTTCACCAGGTTGCAATCCAAGAATACGAAATAGATCGATGCGTGCATCCATGCAACATATAATAACTAGATGTTTCGATGGTGAATCTCGAGCATCATAGATTTTTTCATCATAAGTTCGAGCATATACAGCATTTTGAGCACAGCATTGATCAATAAATGGTTTGAAAGGAAATACACCACTGGAGTTAAGTGCAGCTGCAAGAATACTATTCATCTATATCTATATATATTGAAATGAATTCCAATCGATATAGAAAATGAAAAGCAACAGATTCAATGACAAATATAGAACTGTGTAGCAAGACGTCTCAAATTTATTGAGAGAAAAAACAACGTAACTGCAATGTCAAATAAGCGCAAAATAATGCGCATACACTAGTGATGCAGACAGAACGCACATGAAATAGATCAAACGAAGAACAAAAAAATGTTTCTTGCCCTTTCAGTAAAAGTCGTACGAAACGGATGAATTTTGTTTTTAAATGCATTTCAATGTTTTTCGAATAAATCTTAGCTGTATGCGTCTATTATACTCAAATTTTCGTTATTGGATGAAATAATTTGGGAAGAATATATCTACGAGGGCAATATTCCTTGGGCTCAAAAAAAAAAAACATGTTTTTCATAACTGATTCTAAACAAAGATCTATATTATACTCTATTTTCATAGCAACAGAAGCTGGAACTATAGTGTTAAAATCATGGAAAATTTTGTTGTTTTACATATTAAGGAATGTTAAACCTATAATTGTACTTTGAATGGTTCATTTAACCTTATACATCCGAACTGACTCAGTTACATTGATTTCTTTTCTCTAGTCAAGAAACAGAAGTGTCCTCATTGATCTATATTTCAGTAGTTATAATAAACGTGTGTACTCAATGACAGTACATACAGTCCACGCCCATTGAAAGTATACCCTTCGAGTTTTTTATTTTTTTTTAATATACGTTTTTTATATATTAACCTACTATATATAGGAAGAAAGCCCGGAATGCGCTGCATCTTTTGGTATATTTATATTAACCATCAAATGCAGTTTGAAGTATAAAAAGTGTATTAGAAAAAGAAAGTGACATTTTTTCTTTTACCAAATTTCGAGTATCCGTATTGGTATAATATTTTTTATTTCGCATATATCTCGACTTAGGTAAATGATAAAACGTTGAATTTTTTTCCAAAAGATGTGCTGTGAAAATTTCTACCAAAGCTGCATGATCAAATTCTTTTTTATCTGCTCTACTGGTTTTTCTGATGCTCACAATGAAACAACTTACATAGCAGTATCACTTCCCATCATGTAGAAAACGTTTCGAGGACTTCTCTGATTCACTACAGGACTTGGTCTATAACAAGTTTTGTAGAGCTTTCGACGGCATACCTTTTTGAAAAAAAATTCCATATTCCGTCATTTTCTCAAGTCGAGATATATGGCGATCAAAAAAGTCTTCCAACAGTTCCAGTATGATGGGAAGTAACACTGGCATGTAATTTGTTCATTTTGAGTATCAGAAAAATCACTAGAACAGGTAAAAAAAAAAGAATTCGATTACACAGCTTTTGTAGAGCTTTTCACGGCGTATCTTTTGGAAAAAAAATTCAACGTTTTATTATTTACCTAAGTCGAGATATATGCGAAATAAAAAATGTTACAACATTATGAACACTGTGACAAAAAAGAAAAATTGACTTTTTCTTCTAATACACCTTTCATACTTTAAACTGCATTTGATGGTCAATGTAAATATACCAAAAGATGCAGCACACTTCGGGCTTTCTTCCTATATATAGTAGGTTAATACATAAAAAACGTATATTAATAAAAAACAAAAAATTCGAAGGGTATAATTTCAATGGGCGTAGACTGTACGTCTTGCAATACAAATCGAAATTCAGTTCAGACTAAATTATCTTGATTTGTTCTGGTTCAGTTGGACATTCTTCTAGTCGAGAGAAAAATTATTTTAAAGTGAAGCATGACAAATAAGGATAATTTTATCTGAATTATACTTTAACCTGTTCTGCAATGTATACAACCAGACGAAAGAAAAACAAATGGTTTTTTTTTTTTTGGTCGTTAAATTTCAAATGAAACATCATATAATCTCAAATTCATAATCAATCTGTTCGATTTTTCTTTATTATACTAAATCACGAGAAATGCTTTTGACAATAGGTCATTGCGTACGAAATAGTGACATATCACAACACGAGGCAACATACATATTTATATGATAAGAACATATGATTACAATATGAAAAGCTTGCATAAACTTCTGTTTTGTTTATACATACAAAAAATGAATTCAAATAAATTTGTTAAAAACTTTCAGTCATGATCACAAATAAGTCAGGTTAGAAAATATTGGTGACATGTGAATAAAAATGAATTTTTCATACATCCAGGAGAATTTATAACAATAGAGTGAAAAAAGACAGACGAGGTGAAAAGTACGACGTCACGTTGTGCTAAATCTACAATAACGAGTCACACTGTAAATTGGCTGTAATGCTGAAAAATAAAATCGAGAAAAAAAAAATTGTTTTTTACATTATAGAGAAATCCAGAAAATAACTAAACATCTATTCAAAGACAACGAATATTAAGTAAATTCTTCTTATTGAGAGTGATGCTTTATACGAGAACAACTAGTAATCGCTTTGAAAATTTTTCATAATCCATATAAGTTTTATTTATTTTGAAGTTTCTATCAGCTGCACTTTTCACGATTTGACAATGAATCTAATTTTTGTTTTTTTGTAACATTTCAATAAATTCAATATATGAATATCAGCATTCAATTACTATTTACCAGCGAGATCATCTACGAATCCATTTCATAGGGCAAATATTAATTTTTTACATACCACTCTCATTCTCACGCGATGTTGTGTGCGATTAAATCACATGCGTGGATATTAAGATTTGTGAAAAGTGAATTAGGAATTATTCTTCTGTCAAACACATGACCAATTCTTGTAACATCTATTTATTGCTGCGATCAATGGACGTCGCTCAATTGTTGTTTTCTCGTTAGGATGACAGAAAAGAATTTAAACTTGAGAAAAATGAAATAAATTTTATGTGAAAAGTGAAGTTTGTAACATAAAACAATATGAACTTTTTAAAAGCTTACAATCGAAAAACAAAGACAATAAATATGAAAATTAAAGACATGACTTCTTATGAATTAATAAACAAAAACTAAAAGAGTCTCTATAATAAATGCCATGTTCAACTCAATTCAATCTTACTAATGAAAATTGAAAGAAATAATTCACAAAAAGTTATATTAATTTTTAGTCTATCTAAGAAACAAAAATAAAATTATTCATTTGTACTATTCATTTTGACATGTACAATCGTAAGTAAGTATACAATACGAAAAAGAAAATACATAACACAATTGAATCAATTTATAAGCTTTCGTGAATTTTAAATATTTGATATTCTAGATCAATAATTTTTCAAAGTATACATTTAATAATGATCAAAATTTAATAAATGTTGTATGGTTAATTTTACACTAATACAATAAATTTAGTGTAGAATAAATAGTATTCTCTTCAAACTTTCTGTTAATCTCAAAATCCTCTGAAGAATTTAAAGAAAAACTTTATTTTACAATAACGAAACTCGTTCGATATATGTCTGCATTTATCAAATAACGATCATTATCGATAAGATTTTTTCACTAATAGACAGACATGATGACAGACATCAAACGAGACTTTCATATACTAATGATAAGAAAATTTGATTTATCTTTTAGGTTGTCTTGGACAGACCAAAATGATAGGAATGTTTATTTTTTTCTTGTGGCAACGAAGTAATATGTAGAGCGAAAAAGAAAGACGATGAGATATACTTTGTTCGCTTCATCAAACATAGCATATATCTTTTGATATTTGTTAACTCTTTCGAGGTGGGAAGCACATATATGCATTTTAGTTTTCATTAAATTAGTAACTGAATTCTACATGTATCTTATAGCGGCGTATGTTGAAATTTTTCGCTAGGAGCAGAGAGGAGATTAGCTAATGAAGGAAAATTTCTACTACAGGACTAAAGTCGTTTTTCAGTGAGGGAGATTTCATTCATTTTAGCAGCTCATCCATGTCCAGTTACTTGGCGGCTACACTACTAGTCTCTCATAATATTTCGATGACAAAGATAACCCTACAAATCAGAGATTCATTATTTGAAATCTATACTAAAATTATCATTCATATTGTGCTGTCACGCATCTTCTTTTTCTCCTGTAATTAGGCTCATTACTTCTATATTGCTTTCTTGGCTCTTCGATAAATGATGACACCTACTATCAATATCTCGCTTAGGATCCTTGTTATCTTCATATGAATTCTATCTCTTCTAGTACATTCTGATTTTGTCCATCGTTTCTATCATGAATATATAAATATATGTACATTGTTTTAAAGTTTCAAAAATTTATATTTCTTATCTTTAGTTATAACTGAATACAAAATAATTTTGTTCGAAGTTATGCTCTATATATTTTGTGAATAAACAACTGTCTGAAATACTTCTTTTTTTTTATTGATCACTTAATGATTTTAACTTCTTTTAAAAAATCTGACAAGAAAAACTTTAGTTTGTCATTCTTGAGCATTATTAACATTTTTTTTTACTAAAGTAAAATCATGGCTGTCAGAAATATGAATTCAAATCTTTAGAATTCATATGCATCCTACGAAAAATAATATGCATTTTTTTAATCAGAGGGAAAAATTGTAAAAATATGTATAAGTAGCCTAAAATACCATTTTCTTGTCTTAATATATCTTTTTTGTTGAAGTATGTGTACATGACATATTTTTTCACATGCATGCTTGTTTTTTTTTTTATTGATTCAACTACAAGTTATGCTTTCTCTCTTCTTATCTTCATCTCCCTATGAATAAAACCACGTGTTGTTTCATTAAAGCTTGTCGAATATTCATTATAAACAGCCAACGGCTACTATTAGAATTTTAGTAAATGAAACAAAAATTCACATTTATGTCAACTATATCATCATCAGGTTACATATCGGAAACAAAATTAGATATTATTGCTTTTGCAAATGGTAATCCAGCAAATAAAACAAAAGCAAAATTAAGTAAAAACAATCGATATTTATTCGGTTCTGATATTGCTGATTTATTTACTAAACGACATAATTATGAATTACAACGTTGTTCACAATTCTATTCGTTGGCAAGTGTTTATAATGAAACATTAACAAAAGACAAACATCGAATGAAAATAAAAGATATGAAAAAAATTTATTCGACTGGACGAAAATATATTTTACGATTGTTTATATGTTCTTAAGAATAATGTTATCAAGATTTGATTAGATTATTAATAATTAAAATAAACAAATTATTATGCAGATATTTTAGTTTGGTTCATTAATAATCTCAAGATCAATTGAATAGAATTATATTTCTACAAACATTATTAATTTTGTATTAAGTTAAGAGTGATAGTCGAATTAATTTCGTATTTTTTTGTACAATTTCATAGAAAGAGATAAAACTTTAAATAAAGCTTGGTTTGTATGATAATAATAATAATAAAAAAAAAAGAGAAAAAAAAAAACTTGCGTATGAATAGAATAAAATAAAATATTATCATCGTTTATATAACTTCTTTAAGTAAACCAGTTTTTGTATTATATAAAAATCCTCGTACAGTAATATTTTGATTCAGCATTGGATATTTTTTATATTCGGCTAAATCATCACGAATGGATTGTTCTAAATCAATGATTGGCATAAAATCTGGTTTATTTGATTCTTGTACTTGTCCAGGTATTGTTTGAAAAACAGGTAAATTGCCAACATCAGTTCCTGGTTGTAACTAAAAAAATTAAGAATTTAAGAAAAAAAAAAAAGATGATATGAAATAAAAATAAAAACTATACTTTAAGAGCAGCTAAAACTTGATTATTATTTGAAAAATAGGTAAAACCACAATCAGTATGATGAATAATCATTACTTCTCTTGTTTGTAATAATGTTTGACTACAAACAAGTGAACGAACAGCATCACGAATACGACCACCACCTTAAATAAAATAAAATAATAAATTAATTGAAAAGATTCATAATCTATTTTACCATTTCGAATGATATGCGCTTCACCTGGTTTTAATCCAAGAATACGAAATATATCTAAACGTGCATCCATACAACATACGATAGCTAAATGTTTCGATGGTGGAGCTCGAAATTCATAAATTTTTTCATCATAATTTCGAGCATATTCAGCATTTTGACCACAACATTGATCAATAAATGATTCCGAAGTCGAAAGAATATTTGAATCAATAGCAGCTGCAATAACTTTATGCATTATTTATTTATTAGACTGTCTGTATGATTATTATATTGAAGAAGTGAAAAAGAAAGAAATATGTTATAATGAAGAAATAACAGAATAGTCGAAAGGTCATTAAGGTCAAAAAAAAAGATTAGTGCACATGGTTGTTTTTTTTTATTATTTAGTTCTCCTCCATTGATATTTGAAAATATTATCTCATAGTAAGATTCGACAAGTTCTTTAGTACTATTAAAGAAACTTATTCTTGTTTTTCATTAGTATTATGTTCGAATATTTATTGAAACTTGATGAAAAAAATTCGATTATGAACGAGTCGAATATCGTTGTAACACAAATTTAAAATATTCATTTGTAAAAATTATCAAATAAGATTTATCGAAATTTTGTCTTCGATCTTTTTTTTTTATTAACATCTAGAAATACAGTTTTCATGAAAGAAACAAAAAAACCTACAACTTTAACAAATGAACAATCATTTTTGTTTTTTAATTTGTTATTGAGATATTTATTTAATTGTTGGTAATGTTTTAAGTAAGTCATCTCCTATTTCAGGTGTTGTTTTCTTAATTAAATCATCAACAACTTGTTTATTTAATTCTTTCTTCTCAGTTACATCTTCTTCACTAGGAAGAAATGGTAAAACATCAACTCGAAATTCTTCTGTTGATGGTGGACAATAAACTGAACATCCAGTTACGAATGGACCAACTTTTGTTTGTGAATGTGTGCTCACTTGTTCAATAAGTGCTTGAAAATTTTCTATTAATTGTTCTTGAGGCATATTTATCTAAATTTGAATTTATACAAATAAATATATAAATTAAATTAAATCATTGAACTATTTACAATGCCAAATCGAAGTTCAAGTATAGCACGAGCTTCTTCATATTTTACTGATTGATATTCTTTACCACGAATAAATTTTTCTAACATTTGATCAACATTTGGATGAAGACTACCTATCAACAAAAAAAACAAAAGTTTATTTTTAATTTAATTTAACTATTTAATTTTATACCATATTGTGGATTAGGAAATTTATCTTTGGAAATTTTTTTTCTTAAATGTAAAATATCAGCATAAACATCTGGTGCACATAATACATATTCATAATTTGTATCGGTAACATCACCTCGTTCAAACTACAAAAAAAAAAAAAGAAATTATTTCAAAAAGAAAAATAAATCTATTTTATTTTACTTGTTTAATCACGTCAGTATAACCAAACATGTAAGCACCGTGTTTCTCTATAAAAAAAAAAACAATTCAATTGAAGAAAAAAAGAAATAAAAAAAGAAATTCCTTACCAGCTGCTTTAATATGTTCAGGAAGCTAAAAATAGAAATTCTTTAAAAAAAAAAAAAGAAAAATTAAATTCAAATTTTTTACTCGACAAAAAAGAACAACATTTTTACGTGGTCGATCTTCAAAATAATGTGGAAATGTTACTAAACCTCTGACATTTTCAATAAATTTTGTCTAAATAAAATATAAATAATATATACACATATTTATTTAATTTAAAATAAAACCTTTTTAGATGTTGTCATATCAAGTTTAAGTCGTGCCCAAACAAATGAATCCATTGAATTAAGCATTTTTGGTTGTACCATTTCTCGATGCCATTGTAAAACTGTTTCAAGTGACCATGATCGAACAGGATATTCTTTAACTAACCATACTTTATCAATTGGTTTTCTTTTAGCAAATTCATCATCATATACAACATCAGGTTCGATTGTTCGTGCTCTAGAAAACAAAAAAAAAAATCGAAATATTTTTTTTTCTATATAATTAACAATGATTTTTATTTAATACACTGTTTTCTTTTGTGCCCATTTATCGCTTGGTTTAGCATGTGTTGGTATTCGATGTCGACTAATTCGTCGTGCCATTTTTGTTCGTATAGGTGGTTGAATTTGTATGGTTGGACGAAGAAATGATAAATTTCCTATACCTGACCATAATTGTCGAACTAATATACTCGTCATTCTTTTTTGTAATCTGAAAAAGCATAAATTTTATTATTTTTTTACATCAACATACTGCTTTTTTTTTCAATCAAAAGAATAAAATAAATATCATTGCATATATAAAGAACAGAAAATGGAGTAGTAAAACGAAATCACTGAAATATTCCCGGAAAAAATATTTTAGATAAAGCAGCAACAGTAACAATAATTATTGGTATGGCATAATAAAATTTTGATCGTGGTACTCGAAAATTTTGATATCTACGATCTAAAGAAAAATAATTCAATAAATTTTTTTTAAATTTATTATAGAATAAATGAAATAATTTACTTTGACTTTCAAATGTATATGGATCAATTTCATTATCTTTTAATTGATTATTATCACGAAATGATACTAAAACTTCTGATGCTGCACGTCGTCCAGCATCAACTGCACCATCCATATATCCCATCCATTGACTAGCTGTTTCTGTACCAGCAAAATGAATATTTTTATATGGTTTTCTTAAACCATCAACAAAATCTTTCATTGTTCCTGTTGTTGCATTATGACATGGACATCCACCTGAATATGGTTCTAAATTCCAATCTTTTTCAACATATTCAATTAAATGAGTCGAAATTTTATGACCACCAAAATATCGAGATAGACATTCAATTAAACCTTTACGTCGTTCTTCATATGTTACACTTGTCCATACCGAAGCACATCGACCACCGATAAAACCTATCAAAGCAGGTGTACCATTAGAACTTGTACCATCAATCAAATCTAGATAAAAAGAAAACTTAAACAAAATGATTATTCTAGCTAAGCTTTTTTTAATGCACAAGAACAATTTGAATACCTTAGACAAGAAAGTCATGTGATATGGACATATCTTGACGCAAGACTTGAAGCTTTTTTTGGCACTTCTCCCTCCCCACAAGCACTGGAATTATTAATCAAGCTTTAGTATTTCTTCTTCAAGAGAGATAATGCACTTGAATATTAGAGAAGTTTCTTTTTCTAATGTTTTTGCAATGTTAATGTTAGTAGCTATCAACTATTTGACGCTGCTACTTGAAATGTAACTCTGAAAGTCTAATGGTTTTCTAGAAAGAAGAACAAGGATGATGCCAACATCTCTCACAATTGTCTATGATCCTTGGATATCACTATGGTATCTGCTATTAACTCAATTGAGATAGAGCAGGATTGGTGGGTTAAAGTTAAATTATCTTTCGAAGTGAAATTAAATCGGAATTAAATTCTCGACCAACTGTGCTTCTTAATTTAGTATTAAATTTCATAGTGAACATCAGGCCACAATAAGAAACAATTGATTCAGTATACTAGGCAATGCACAAAAGCTGCTTGTTCAGAAAACAAAATAAAACGAAAAATGTAAAGCTTTGTGATGGTCAAAGCTGAAATTTGTCACTCGAAATTTCTTGTGGTTTATGAAACTTTTCAACTTTTTTTTTGAGTTTTACATTCAAAATGATTCAGTTCTTAAGAAAAACTCATATTTTAATTAAAAAAACCTCTAACAAGCAGAGTAAAAAAGGAATCGACATGCACATTAAAATAAAATGTGTTGCATATTGTCGTACTTTATGACACAACGTACGAGGCATTAAAGTGCGATACGAGGTGCTCTTTACGACACATTTTGAAAACATAGTTCGAGTCTAATCTTCAGTGCATTTGTACTTTTTTTTCTGCATAAGCGAATAATTACTATTTTTTTTTTCGTTTAATTCAAATTAGTAATACGTATTTTAAAAGCTCAAGACGATTCAGTCTTGAGATCTAGCCATCTCGAATTCGTTTGATCTCCAGCAAACTTCTTCAAGATAGTCCTTCTTCGATCGTCGAATGGTCTCTCGACCAATAAATAAACGAGGAATAGTCTAGAAGAAAAAAGACATCCGAAAATATACGAGCTCATTATGTTTAATTGAGTCGGTTATAGGTAACTATATTTTTCAAAACAAAATGATAAAAGTATACTTTGGAGATAAGAAAACGACACATTTTATCTGTGTGCGTGAGTAATTAGATTCAAATATCCTTAAAGGCAATGAGCATCGGAGATCGAACAGATATAAATTTTTCATGACACGTACTGGCACCGATTCCATCTCTGAAGAGCATTATTTCCTCCGAGTCAAAAAAAAAAACCTATGGTTATTCTATTCCAATTGATCATTTCATACAAGCGCTTATCTATGGAAAAAAGTCATGTGATATGGAAAAAAAATCTTGAGGTCTGTATATGTCAAGTACATGAAAATGAAAAGTTCGACTAGAGAACTTAAATATTAACTTACAAGTCATGGGACCAATTGAAAGTCCAAGTGGAGCAAAACTTCCATCACTAATAACTTCTCCATTAAGACCATCTTCTCGCCAGAATGCCTATTTACATCAATTTAAAACTATATATGATTTATAATAAAAATACTTTATCAAAAATAAAAACAAATTTAAGATAACTGCCAATGGGCATATGTTTAAGCATTTCACGTTTATATCCTGGTAGCATTGGTTCAAATTGTATTGGAACTAAACAGAAAAAATAAATAAATAATTGACAAAATAAAATAACTAACTAACTTATTTGTGAAGGTGGAATAGCTAGAATAAGTTTACGACATTGAAATGTTGTTTGATTGTCAGTTGTATTCACCAAAACAGTACCTTAAAAAAGACAAAACTCAACATCAAACAGGTCAATTATATCAAATTAAAATTTATATGAACCATCATCATTTTGTACAATTTTTTGCACCGGTGTGTTAAGTAGAACTTGTTCTTTACCAATATGTTCAACAAGTAATTGTGATATTTGTTGTGATCCACCCTAGAATTATATACGATAATCATTTGAAAGAAAATATTGTTTGTTTATTTGTTTTTTTTACTTTAATTTTCTTTTCTTGTGCACAACCGGGATCTGTTAATGTTAGTCTCATAAACCCTCCACCTGCCTGAGCATATGTTAAAGCAAATAGAGCATTTACTTGTTCTGGTTCACAGCCATATACAGTTCGTATAGCAGCAGTCATCAATGGTTTAGCACCTATTTAATCGAAAAGAATAAAACAATTAAAATTTATCCGATAATTAGAAAACTTACGATTATGTATCCATGGTTTCATTAAATCTTCGAGTGTACGTTGATCAAGATAATCAGCATTTCTTGTCATCATAGGATTCCATGTTGGAACAGTCGATGCTAACGATTCAAGCTATTACAAAATAATAGTAATAATAATAATAATAATAAAAACAAGACTAAGTAAAATTAAAATTAATTTAATTTTGTATTTTTTTTTCTTTTTTACTCGAAAAACACTATAAATACTTTCAAGAAATGAAAGTAAAGAAATAAATGGCATTGATAAAGCATATTTTTGTATATGACGTTGTAATTCTGCTATACTTTTGCCTGTATGATATTGTAAATATGTTTCTAATTTTAATTCATTAAGTAATGCTGTAATATTTTCTTGTGTACTCAAAAAAAAAAGAACAAGAATTATAAAATAGAATAATTTCAAGTAAATATTAAAAATGTCATACTCAGTCACCCATTGACCACCAAGATCAAATCGATCTGTTTCATTTCCATCATGAGATGTTATAATATCACTTGTTAATGTTCGACCACCAACTCGATCTTTTTGTTTTTTGTAAATAAAAATATGATTGATTTTATTTTGAATTGATTTCATTTACCTTTTGCTTCGAGTACAAGTATTTTAAGTTCCGGTGATTTTTGTTTGATTCGATAAGCTGCATAAAGACCTGATATTCCAGCTCCTACTACAATAACATCGACAATATTTTCTTCTATCATCTAAAATTTATTCTATCTAAAAACAAAAATCAAGAAAATTATTATTGCATCAAAGCAAATAAAGCAGCACCATAACCAGCATCGGAATGTTCATGAAATATAACTGGATATTGCACTTTTTCTTTAAGTTCTCGTTGTAAAACATCATTTCTCATTAAAGCACTACCTGTACCGATAACACATTCCATTATCAATGAATCTTTCCCTATCATTTCAAATAAATTCTTAATTATCCATTGACATATTGAACGAAATACACAACCAATATCATTCAATTGAGACATATTAATTGAACGAATATTTGTTATTGATGCAGCCATTGATGAATCATGTCGTTCACCAAATAAAGCAGCAGAAAAATTGTCAATTGTTGATGATGATTGAAGACCAAGTTCAATTAATCGAGACCAAAGAATATCAATTGATAATGATGAATTATTATTTAAAGATAATTGCCATGAATAAATTAAATGAACAAAAGCTGATAGAATATTACCACCATTAAGTGAAGCAGCAACTAATAAATCTTTTGATTCAAAATATGGAACACGTATAGATGATGAAATATTATCACCATCAGAACCATTTATCATTGATGATTGTCTATCAATAGCTAAAGCAAGTTGTGCTGATGTTGAAATATTTAAAACACCTTGATTTTTTTTTGGTTGACAACTAAATACTGAACATTGTAAATCACCAAGAGCAACATAAACGGGAATTTTTTTCTTCCAATAACCAATAATAGTACCCGGTTCAACAATTATTGGTAATAAACGGTGTTCAATAGGCCATTTATTATTAACAGCACCCCAACTTGTTGCCATCTGTGTTGATATTTGTGAATTAATTGTTGAATCTTCACAAAGAATTTCAACAATATAATCAGCAATTGTACCAGCTCGATCATATTTTATTAATTCATCTTCTTTTCCTTTTTGTTCATTAATTAACCATAATAAAGTAGCTAAACCATAACCAGTTCGTAGATGTGTTAAAGATGATCCAAGTGTTGAAAGAAATTCTGTTGAACATCGTTGATCTTGCCATGTAATAAGTGAAGATACAATTGTACGTGGTGATTTTGATGACCAAAGAATAAAACCATGCATTTGACCACAAATTTGAATTGATTTAATTAATGAATCATTATTAAGACTACCGGATTTTTCTAGAAGTTTATCGACAGTTTCAAGAATTTTTGATGGATATTGTTCATCAAATGAAGTAAATTCTTTTTGAATAATATGAGCATTATGAGCAAGTTGTTCAGTAAAAATAATACGATTGTTTTCATTTGATGATGATGATGATGATGAGACAATACAAATTTTACATGATGTCGTACCAATATCTATACCGAGAGAATACATCTATAACACATAACAAAAAAAAAAGCATAAGAAAAATAACAAGTTTTCATTAGAAAAAAAGAAACGAACGACATCATGTGGTAAAAACAATGAGAATTAGAAGAAGGTATTCGAGGTATGTTATTTTTTTTTTGATATTAGTTAACAAAAAAAGCAGAGATATCGGATGATTCTCTTTCCAGGACTCAATTTTCACCTGTAATTTTGTTTTAAACATTTCAAGATATGATTTAGAATACGGTGACCTATCTCAGTTTCATATTCTTTATTATTAAATTGAAAAATCATTATGATTATAAGAAGGTTTTATGAAATAAGTTATTGATTTGAAGAGAATTGACTTTATTTGTTAGTGAATCTGAAATATAGACAATAATAGGAAATGAAAAACTGTTATATTTGAATCTGGTTTAGGAATATAAAAAAAGATCTCTGTATCCACAAGTAGCAACAGATCTTGACTGGTTAAAACGAAACATCGACTTAATGAAAAGTCTGAGAGATGTCACTGTTTGTTTGGAGTACATGATTATTTGACATCAACTCGACTGCTTTCGACATGTATTTGAGAGTAAGAGTAAGAGAAAAGGAAATCTATAGATCTATTTCTTAAAAATTGGATGAAAGAAAACCTTTTTTTTATCTAATTTATTATTCTCTATCATAAAAGATGTAAACTGATCAGTTTGGTTATCGCCGACGTCGTTGGTTGCTATAAAATTTTAATGACATTTCAGTCGCCATTGTTGGGATAGAAGAATAGATACTGGATTTTTCAAACCCTTTCGACCACTAATATTCTTTTTCTGAGATGTTCTTATTTAATTTCTTACCAGTATGTTATCTACCATTTTTTTTATTTCAAAATGCGAAAAAAAAATTCCAGTCGCTGATTCATTCATTGACTTCCACTACTTGCTGATGAATTCTATATTGCTTGTTACCAAATCAGTTCTTATTTAGTAAACAAGACATGATAGTCAAATTCGGAAGACGTGAAAACTTACTTAAAAGCAAAGAAATTCTATAAAAAGATAAAAAAGTTGACTATTTAATTAATAGAAAAGAACAACTCTACAATGACTGAAATCAACCAACTTGTTGTTAGTAAGAAGGGAACAACTATAATAATATTTCTGTTAAATAAATAAACTTGATAAGACGGATAATCGGATACATTAATCGGCGATGACAGTGAGATATGTTTAACATCCTTTTTTAGCTTTCGGTGCAAACGACTAGAAATGTCTGATGCTGCAGTAACGGTGGTTGGAAGTCTGCAATGCTTTCTTAAAAGATTTTCTTAATTTAGAGATACTTTGAATCGAAAAAGAGAGAAAATAATAAGAAATCAGGCAAGAACATTCCTGAAAACTGATCATAGAAGCCGAAAATTTTCAGCAACTATTTATGATGACGACTAGAACGTTGGCAGCGGATAAGCCGAATGGCTTATAGCTGTAAATTTGATAGATCATATAAGATAAAATAAGATAAGTAAAAGATACAGTTAGTATAAATATTGTAGAACTGGTATTGACCGTCGAACGAAATGACAACTATTCTAAAAAACAAAAGATTAAATGCAAAACCCTGATTAAAATTGTTGAAAGATCAATCATAATAAGATAGTAGAAAAAATATAGTAAATTTTTAATATTACATTATTATTTATCTATCCTGATATTTGATCAATGTCATGAAAACTAAATATTAGAATACTAAACGCTCTTATTAAACAAATATTGTCAAGGATAAAGCATTTAACAAATTTGACTGTACTCATTTGTTGCAAATTAAATCAATCCGTTGCTAAAAGATATTGATCAAAAGCAGCAAAACATATTGTTGAAGAATAAAATTGTTCTACTGTTGTTCTTATTTTATACTAAACAGATGAATTTATTAATACATTAATATCAAATCCAGTATGAAGAAGACATATATGAATATTCTTCGACGAGTATTCCACATGAATTGCATGATAATTAAATCAACCAGTGAATAGAATTCACCTATTTTATTTCAACATAATCGTAATTAAGTAAAAAAAAAGAGCATCGAAATGATTACCAATGATTTCACAGCTTACAACAACAAAAACTACCATAGAAAAAATAAAATCATATGTGAAAAGATCACGGATCTCTTATGATATTAAAAACAATAAAAAAATTTCATAGTTAGAATATGGCCGATTAGTATAGTTTAATGAAAATCTAGAATACTTGTAAATTTATATTTATACAAAACATTGCCATAGATTATTTGAAATGGAATTTATCAAGAATATGAATATTCATTTAACGTCGTTGTCTATATTCGATGTCAATAAATTTCATATGTTTGTATTACAGCATTTAGTATATTTTCATTTTTATATAGCGCTGAAGTTAATCAATAAAAGTTATTGTGAATGTGAATAAATCGAAAATTATCGGTATTCCTAAGCACCATGAAAGGATATGATGAAAACAGTGTAAGATGATATAACGCCAATGTAATAGAACAATTAGATAAGGTTCTTTTATTGTTGCAAATCAATGGATATTCTACTGTTGAAATAAGACGCTAAAGGATGATATTGGATTTTATCAATTTTTCATTGCTTGTAAAATTTCATTTAAGAAAATTTTAGTTTGTTTATGATTTTATTATACTCCTAACATGAACTTACTTATTGTCGTCTACAGATTTTTATGTTTGAAAAATCGATGTGCTAGAATAATCGCAATAATAATTTTCCTACTCAAATCTTATAGAACACAGTCTAGCATAAATTACCTATGTCAGTCATTTATGATATTATGAAGTATATTTAGAAGAAAAGGCCATGATCTTCTATTGTGAAAATTCATATCGCTTCTTCAAAAGTAACCTTCTTTTGCTAGTTAGCGTTTTGCTAGCTTTTATCTATAAAACTAAGAGCTTTGGGAAAACTCTACTGATACTCAAACAGACTTTTTTTTAGCAACTACATGCAAGAAAACTAGAATTTTTCACTGGAAAAAAATAGTAATGTTTATTACAAAAACAGAGTCTTTATTCAAACTGAGTTTTTAGATGCTATAGTCAAAAAAAAAGATCATTACATTTTCAGAAAAAACTTTCGGAGAACCCATGACCTTTTATTTCGCCTTATGAGATTTTTTTTTTATAAGTGACTACCTATTCTGAGAAGGATGTTTTAAGACAAAGAGGATTAAATCATCGTAAAATAAGTTAAATAGGTAATATAAAAAGAAATGTTTTAATACACAATAGTACTCGATTCTCGGTACTATGGAAAAGAACATAATTTTATCTACGCATATTCGATAATTATTACTTATATAATGAGAAAATGAACCCATTCATTTATGAATAGAATGTAAACAATCTCTTTTCATCAAGATACTGCGTAAAAGTATTAAAAAAACACAAGCAAAATGTTAAGTCAAAATCTCTAAAGTAATTTTATTTCTTATACCCAGACATTTTCAAATTTATTCTCTTCCAGCAAATGAATGTATCTCTAAATATATAAGATAAATTTTTTCAACAGATTAATACAAACTGATGTAATTTTATAGAATCCGCTATCTTAGTTAAAACCTATACAAAAAAAAATAATTATATATTTATTACCAATGATTGAATATTCATATTACAAATTACTACAAAAAAAACAAAATTTATTTCGTCAAAGATCAAAAGATAAGGGAAACATTTTCATTGAAGCATTGGATATTTTCAAAATAAAAATTCTTCTATGTATTTTAACAAAAAATTTCAATAGTTCTTTAAAAATTCAGTTAGATTCGTCGAAATTTGAATACAATATCAGTATAAAAACAATAATATGAATATGGCAGGTAACTAGATTTGATTTTGATAGAGTTTTGCTAGGAATAAAATATAATTAAAATGAATAGAAGAGGATATGATTCGAGAGTAACCATCATCTATTTAGCTTGTCAATAAACTTGATATAAGTTTATTTTCAGACATAATAAAAGCTTTTATTTGAAAGAATGTTGTGTTTATTTCGACACAGTCATACGTGTAATTATATTTATTTTTTTTATCATTTTGACAACGTATTAAGAAAAACTTGATAGGCTTTTCTCTTCATTGAAAATAAAATACTAAAATCTTCATATTTTACAAAAACATAGAATACATCTCTTTTTGTTTTTAATTATTCAATGCATCTTTATTCATTAATTGATATTGAGAATGTCATACACACTGTATAGTGTATGATTCATCGTACGAAAAGTGATCATAAACATCATAGAAGAGAAATCAGAAATAATAAAAAACCAACACAAAATCCATGTTATTTTCATACGAAAGTCTTCAAACTTTATTGTAAATATATTTTTTAGTTTTACTACAACACTAGTTATTGTATTTTATATGTCATATACATGAATTCGAAGAATTTCACGATAAGGTTTTGGAATCAATGTGACATGACATAAACATTATTCTAGTTCATTAGCAGAAAAACTTTGTTGAGCTATTTCAGGAGAAACTTTATTTCTTGATATATTTGTTGATGTTTTATTACATAGAGATTTAATTAAGCGCTAAGGTTTTTTTATCAGAACATTTTTCGCTTGACGACGAAAACGTGATAATACCATTAAAAAGACATAAAAATTAATCTAAAATAAAATTCAACATGTAGATTAATAAACAGTCTGTTAAGACTAAGCAAAGTTTTATGTTTTAATTTACCACAAAATTAGTATGCATCAACGAAGCAGTTATTGATAATAAGAGACTAACGATTGCTAATTCCATATAATTATTTACATTGTTGTTTACATTAAGTTGATATAGAGAAATACAAATAAATGGTAAACCACATATAATAAGAACAATAACACGTGCCAAAGTCATTGCTGTCATTTGACGATCAAGACGTCGACGAAATAGAAGCTTTTCGATAATCATGTGATCAAATAGGAGAAGACGGAAACTCAATTAAGTACTAGCATAGAAGATATCAAGTGTATGTTTTGTCGTGTGTATTCGTGCAATATCTCCTATATGTCCTATGTTGATATTTAATTGAGTTTCTGAGGATACCCATAGAAGATATGATATCCTAATTTCATCCGTTCTGTCTACTATATCATTGCTGAGGTATACATTTTTTTGCAACTGTTAATGAATAAAATAGTTAGTGGTATTAGGTTACAAAGTCTCAAGTGGACACTCTCATTAGTTCTGATCATATATATCTGTTCATTTCACATATTTGTTAACAAACCTAATAGCAAGCGACAAAAAAACAATCATCAAAAAGAATATGAAGAAAAGACCGTTGAAGTGGTTGATTCTTTTACTGTCTTTGAATAATTACACGAATATATTAGTCCAATGTGTTGTTGTATTATACAACTCAAAGGAATATAAATAATAGTTGAATTTGATAAAAACAGACATAAATTTTTCAGCATGACAAAAATGGAAATGAACAGTTTGTGTGGTCTGCGGAAAAGTAAAAGAAATAAGATGCCTAAAATTTAAGTAAATATGAACAATAGATTACTCGCATGATTCAACAGTCTTAGTTTCATCTTCAATTTATTTGCAAGCTGTAGTGAAATTCACTTTCAATATGTATCTCGATAAGAGTGCGTGTTCAAAAAAAAGTAACTAAGAACAGTTTTGCACAAGACGTAAAAAATAAAATTAGATTTTTGTTTTTCTTTATGAAATTGTAGTAATTCTAAATAGAAAATGACTTTTTTTCAAATCAAAAGACTTCATCCAATAGTCTTTCGATTTTAATGTAATCGAATAAATCAAATTTCATATTCGATCTTCAATACGGTTTGAAATTGACAACTTCATACAAAGCATTGCATCACAAATTATATCACATCATAGTTTTTAATTCTTTATAATACATTTTTATTTAGTTTATTTTTTAATCGATCTAATGTCTTATTTACTTTCAACAGTATCTACAAGATAGTTTACATCAGAGCTGGTAATAAGCCACTTTTTATTTCTGATCTAGTTCGGAATGCTTGCAGGTCAAACCTGGTTGATTGATTTTTCGGGTTTCTTGAATAGATTTCATTCTATAACTGTACATTAATGTATCATTCTAGTTTTAGCTGTTCACTTGTTTTATATCTATAAAGAAAAGATAATAACAAGTTCTTGTATGAAGTAGTAAATTACAACAATGAGAAAAATCATTATAAGGATTTTTTAGACAAGAAAAGCTTGAATTAATGCAATGTTTTCGATCATGCCAGTACGGTTTTGCATAATCGAAAAAAAATAATTATGATAGCAAAAAACAACATATGATCAGGCATACAACGAAGAGGTAAAAGAAAATGTAGGGAATAAGTGATAATTACAATAACACGCAAGAACATTTATATTGGACAATTAATTTTTGCAAAAGCATGAATGCAAAATTTACTAGCCATTTGTTTTGGATCTAAAAAAGTCCTATAGCACTAAATTGACCTTATGTTCAAGCATTTGTTCTTGGAATCGAAATAATTTGTCGAAGTACTCTCAAATAATAAAACAATGCATCAACATTTGATTTTCAAAGCGTAAGAGCCAAGTAAACAACTTTGCCATGGTGTGCCTTGTTAGTCAGGTTGAATATCGAATGGACGGATCAGATCAGACTAAAATTTCAAAATTTGACCTGACCTAGCAGACGTCTACCATGCAGCAAAACAGGTCGGCAACTCTGTTTACACGCTCTTTTCATTTTTTCTTAATATCTCAAATAATAAATTTGACAATGAGTATAATGAAGATATGTGACGATGAGAAACAGTAAAACTGCCAATCAACACTATTACAATGAATTAAAATCAAATGTGTCAATTAAAAGTCTTGTTTCGTCAATGATATTATTAAAACATAAACCAAATTTTTACTCAAGTCCGTATTCTACACATAACTAATATTCTTATTTTATCTCATATAGATTGGATAATATTCTGATTTTTGTTCAAAGTCAGAAGTCTCAATGAAGTATGACAAACACATATTTATATAACATATTTCAATAAGATAAAATAACTCATACATAAAACGACAATGGACTGACATTTAGGAAATATTGTTGATAATGGATGATTTGACTTTATTGTTTTTTCTATAAAAACACAACTATACGCATTCTAAGACGAATGCACTTGCTTGAGTAGGTTCTGGAGCAACTTGATTATTCTTTGAAATTATTAATCTGGGATTAGATAATATTGTCAATGAACGCCGAAGTTTTTTAATAAAGAAATATTTCACTTGATGACGATAACGTGGTGATATCATTAAAAATAAATAAAAATTGATCTAAAAAAATCGAAATCACACAACCAATTTTAAGACTCAATACAATAATTTAACTTACAGCATAGTTAGTATATAAAATAGAATATATAACTACTGATGATAGATTAAGGATGGCCTCTTCCACATGATCGTCGGCATGATAAGTTATATTAAGTCGAAATAGACTCCAAATAATAAATGGTATACCCAAACTAACAATACACATCACTCTTGTCAGAGCAATTGCTGTCATTTGACGATCAAGTCGACGACGCATCAATGGTATTTGACGTCGAATAATTCGACGAACATTTTGATATGCCAATAAACTGAATAAACCACTGATAGTAATTGGAAGCACACAAGATAGAATCGGATAATAGAAAAATGTAAAGTAAGCATTTACTGTTGGATGGTAAACAGTACATCCTAATGGTCCAGTCTGGGTAAAAATAAGAAAGAGTATTCCATGAAGCAATACAATAGTTATATTGAAAAATGACAGACGATAAGCTAATTTAAGTGTACTTATATATCGCCAATGTTGTCTATGATTTGTTGATAGATATTGATCAAAAGCAAGAAAACATATTGTACACAAAGAATATAAGCCAAAACTATATGAGCTCATTGATTGTATTTTACACCAAGCAACTGATATATGTACTGGATTTCGACCTATAATATAACTAGCAATATTAGATGGTAACATTGCAAGAAGTACACCAATATTAGCCATAGACTCAATTTTTAAATAATAAGCACATTGATTTCCTCGAAATATACGTAGAATGTTGAACATTAGAATAATTAAAATATTACCAATAAGTCCAATGAATAAAATAACGACACTGGAATAGAATTGATATTTATTGGTTATAACACGAAGCAGTTCAATTATGTTTAATGATGACATGTTTTATTCTTAATAAAAAAAAATATTTGTTTTTAAAATGACGATAATTCAATGATGTTCTTTTTTCTTCGATAATGGACATTAATGTGTAGATCAAACAAAAGTTTTTCTTTTCATACCAATACTTTCAAGCGTAATAATTGAAATTGTTGCATAAAATGATTTGATTTGATCAACTAACCGTTATAGGTTTATTTTTATTTTAATGTTATTACATTTTAAAACGTCAATTCATATATTCAACGAAGCATATTTTTTCTTATGTGTGTGTGTGACATTAAAAAACTAGAAAAAAAAAGACATGTTTCGTATATCTTGCCCTTACAAAAAAAATCTATCAAATACAATACAGTATGTAAGATGAAGAATATTTATTTAGATATTTATCATTATAATTCAATGGTATCTGTTGATAGTATTGTTTATAGAATCGTAGAGAGTCAAATACAGTGTATCTGATTTATTTTCTGTACTTTACGACAAAATGAATTAGAATAATTTTTCAAGAATTGATTAACCATATCATAAACAATCTTGTATTAATTATAAAGTTGTCTCAATTATTTTTTTTTAATCTATTGTTTAATTACGGACTCATTGCAAAGGGTTTACATGAATTTTCTATCTAGACTCTATTGATCAATCACAAAAAGAAAAACATGCAAAATAATGAATTAGTGTTATTTAGTTCATACGACGACGTTATGAATTAAATGTGAATTCTTAGAAATATATTTTCTCCTATGTATGCTGTCTGATTTTTTTATCCTTTTTATTGATCAAGTTTGCTATTGTCATAATAAAATGGGATATAGATCTTATTGAATCTATATTTAATAGTTTTGATAAAGTTTCAGTGAAACTTGTACACAATTCGATACTAAGTGTATATGTAGAGAAAGAATATTAAAATCCAGCGTTATCACTCCATGAACTTTTTCTAAATCAATCTGATTCTTAATTCTATATTATACTTTCATGTAACATAATCATTTTATCGCTTTCAATACTTCTTCATCACAAAATATTTTACTTTGTCGATGAAAACATCATCATATTGTGAAAAATAGATAGAAATTGATCTAAAAAGTAAGGTACAATAATAGAAAAGTGTCAGAATGAAGAGAACTTTCCGATTTATCCCAAAATTCATGTAGAACAACGAGTATATGAGACTACACTCGTCAAACTATCAATCGCTATAAACAGTTGTTTGTTTTCTATTTTACGAAGATTTTGTTAATACAAAGAATAAGTTATACAGAGTGAACTCAAGTAAATAACATATCATAAGTATTTGTCATCGCATAAGCCGATGAGCATTATGCTAAGCTAACAAAACATATTAAGTAAAAATAAAATGTTGCTCTATGTATAATGCATATGTCTAAGGAAGGAATTTCCATTTAAATGAAAAGTAAAATGTAATGCAGGACAACCAAAAAAAAAAAAAAAATTGAAAAACGTAAAACGACGAGTTAATTTTACTGCATAGATTTGCCGCCAACTGTATCCGAGAAATTCACGAATATTGTTCCTACTACGTTTTCTCTTTGCTGATACGTTATTAAAACTCCTAACAATTAACAAACAATTTTAAAAAAGTTGTAAATCGACGTAAACATCGTTCTCACTCAAACATTATCCTAGGATCTCGCCTTCACTTTCAACTAATGCCATTATAGTTCGCTTCAGATGAGTTAATACGTTAAAATAAAAGGTCGTATTCTTTTTCAAAAACTACTTATGTCTTTTGTAGAAATGCTAACAGACCATAGAAACTAATTATAATCGCATTTATACTTCTCACAGAAGAAAAAACTTTCAAGTACTTTTCTTATTATATTTATGCATGACAAGCTTAATGGATGATATTATTGAAGAATAATGGAAATGACATACTAGACTAGATAAAAAAAAAGTTTTGACATTGTTTCATTTCATTGAAAAAAAGAAAGCAATCAAAGACATTAGTTTTTATAAGCGTTAAAAGAAAAAAACTGTTGTCTTATTTTTAACATCAATGAAGATCAAAAAGTAAAATGAATTTATTGTTTTTATAGATTGATGTATATATTATCTTGAAAAAGACAGTCTTCTTTATATTGAAGAATTATATGAAGTTAAAAAATCATACCAAAAACAGATATCTCTTATTTGAATATTTAATGATTCTACCAAAGAATTGTTTAAACATTCTATTTGATATATTCTTCATTTTATTGAATCAAAATGCTAATTTATAGTTAGTCTTTGATCGGAAAATGAAGAATTTATTTCTTGAATAACTTCATGAAAGTTGAAATATGAAAATATGTATGTGTCCTTCCTAATATTCTATTATCATACAAATTTGTAAATCTCAACTGTCAATCAAATTGGAATAATTTTATTTTTCAAAAATTTTTGAAAATACAATTGAAATTAAGTAATTAATTCTTTTTATTTCTGATGAACAATTCAATTTTAAAGATATATATATATGAATCATTGCAGTAGTTTTGCAAAAAAGAATATATAATTGATTCAGGCAATTATTTCTACTGAAATATTTATTCTTTAAATAATGGTAATAAATTTAATGAAGACAAAAATAAAACTATCGTTCTTCTTTTACGTGCAAAAACCAAGCTTCATTGAATATCAAGACTTTGGAATTTTTTTTTCTTTGTATAATATAATGCGAATAGTTTATGTGTTGTTGTACCTAAAATACATAGATTTAAGACAACATTTTTTTAAAAATTTTATCATACGCAGTAATTTGGATAATAAGTGCCGTGAAATAACAATTTGATTAATATATAACATACCCGGTCGCCAACAAAACAACCTATCAAAAGAAAAATAATGGAATATCTCCACCATATTTTAAAGAAATGAACTTATTTTTTTCCCCAATGATAGAGGAAAGTTGCAAGCATTTATTCATCAGTCATCATTCTATTGACACACTTGAAATCTAGTACTATCTACTTCAATTCAAAAGTTGATATTGTTTTCCGAATACTTCCATGAATAGTAGACTACAAGAAACGCAGAGATTTGAATATTTTCATTTTGACATATCCATTTTTGTAGAGATTTTTCCACTAATTTTTTCAGTAAAAATCGTTTCCTATTTTCAACAACAAACGAAGATGCCATGGTCAAAATACTGCAAAAAAGTCAAAGTACTCCAGAAGTTCAGAATACTTTGATGTTTTTTAGTAGTTTAAGTCTAGCATCATTATTTTTTGATGAAAATTTTTATTATTGAAATGATCAATGAAAAAAGCTTTACAAAATTGATTATATTAAAAATTTTTCGGATATTTTTGTGTCTTTGTGGATGACTATCCATGAAAGTACTCTATCAAAAATTCACTGTAGTCGTATGGATTTCTCGTGAATTTTTTGTATAAAGAAATTTAAGAGGATCCTGTTAAACCTTGATGACGTCAGATAGTTTAGCAAAAAGTCAAAGATTGTAAATAAATTATTATAAAAAATGGAGAAGATTTAAAAACATGAGAATTTTAATAATATTACAAATACTTAAAATCTATCATTTATTTTTGCTATACAGTGGAAATATTCTATTCTTGTTTTTGGTAAGTTATTTCTGAGACATCCGGTATTTAACTAATCACAGTGACATTTTCTTGATTTTTAGATTATTAAGAAAGATTTTAGCCGACTTTATAAAGTTACAATTCTCTGATGTTTATATGCAAAAAAACAAGCATGTCGTAATTACGATATCATGTTTGGATGTTAGAAACACGTCGGTATTAGATCGTACCAATTATCATCGATTATATTTCCATCTATTATTGTGTTTGATTTCAAGAGAAATGAGAAAGTTCTTTGCATATCTGTTCTGTCAGTATATCAAAACCAATTGAATACATACTAAAAGAAAATGTTAATAGATTCTTTGATGAAATATATAACATATATCTTTTTTTATTTCAATGAAAATTGCTATTGAGTTCAAACATAACGCAAATGATCTATGACAATTGGACATATATAAATTTCATATTAATAGTTTTAGTTTAATGATTGAAGTTATTAGTAATCTTTTCGTTATTGTTGTGGTCGCTCGATGTACATCAACACAGACAGATGAGAAAATCTTAAAACTTCTTTCAAAACATGTGTCGTCGAATTTGCTAGAATCATTTTACGAAACAATTCTTTATCTTGTTCTAAGGAATTTTAAGAAAATTCAAAGGATGAATGTATGAAACTTTGCTCATTCTAATTGATTTGAGAGAGTTGGAAAAAAAACAGATTTGCGAGATACTGTAATAATACTCTTCTTTCGAACGCCAAGACTATCATTTTGATAGTATCACTATATTAAACAATGAGTCTTGGTACGATGAACTCGATTAAGATAATCAACTTCCCACTTTGGAAGCTTTTATTCTACTGTTATAATGAAAAGTTATAACATCTTGTACATCTTTCCTTTGAAACCTTCCATATCAATTCGAACGAGCGAAGTGTTCCTTGTACTTTGATTATTGTGCAGAATTAAATAGGGGTGCACCAAATCCAAATCCAGTCAAACTCAAATCCTGGGTTTGACAGAGTTTGACTAGATTTGGACTTGGGTTTGGGTTTGACTGGATTTGACTTGGATTTGGATTTGGATTTGACTGGGTTTGATTTGGATTTGACTATATATACCTCTTACACAGGCTGCAGTTTTTCGGTAACAAAACTCGCCAAAACCGATCAAATCTTCGTCTTCATTAGATGCAGTTTTCTTCGCTCTATCCAATGACGACGTCAGATTTCATCTAATCTTCCAAAAAGTGCTAAGGTTTGACAGGATTTGATCAAAAACGTGAATCAAAAGCAAGAATTTACATAAAAGTCTGTCAAACCTTGGCACTTTATGAAAGATTACATGGAATCTGACGCCATCATTGGATAGAGCGAAGAAAACTGCATCTAATGAAGATGAAGATTTGACTGGTTTTGACGAGTTTTGTTACCGAAAAATT